GGATATTTGACAGGCGAGGCAGAGCAATTAGTAAGACACATTTCTGTATCTGAAACTAATTATGACATATGTTGGAGGCAACTTGAGGAGAGGTATAACAATAGAAAATATTTATCTCACTGTATACTGACAAGGCTTTTAGGTCAAACAAATGCTGTTACTGAAACGGCAGGTTTTCTTAAAGAATTATTAGATACTTCGACTGAATGTTTGAATTCTTTGGTAAATATTGGAGTAAATATTTCATCCTGGGATATAATATTAATTCATATACTCACGTTAAAATTAGACCCTGAATCACGAAAGCAGTGGGAATTAAATATTAGTACTAACACTTGTTTAAACATTTTACCCACATTTCAACAGTTTAAAGAGTTTCTTACCTGTCGCTACAGAGCTCTCGAGTTTACAGAATCTAGCTTCAGTAACAGACGGAGAGATGGAAATTTAGTACAAAACCCTGTTAGACCTAGATTACTAAATGCAAATGTATTTGAAGTAGCGTGTGAATATTGTTCCAGTAACCATAAGTTATGTTTCTGTAAGGACTTTATTTCAGAAAGTTATAAAAATAGACACGAGTTTGTTGTAAATAATCGTATTTGTTCCAATTGCTTGGGAAGCAATCATTCTGTGAGATTCTGTCAAAAACCTATTAATTGTAGAGTATGTCAAAAAAGACATCACTCACTTCTACATCCACCAAATTTGACCTCTGAAACTAGCCATCAAAATGACTCAGTACATAATATCGGTGAAGTCCCAATATCTAACAACCAAGTCGAGACCCCAATAGATTCTGTAGTATCGTGTTTGAGTACTAGCGCAGAAAATCAAGTTCTTTTAACAACAGCTCTAGTGAGAGTCAAATCGGGATCAGGTCAATATCAGGTTTTTCGAGCAATTATAGATCAAGGTTCACAAGCCTCTTTCATTTCAGAAACTGCATTTCAAAGATTAGGTTTAAAAAGTTCAAGTGCAAAGACTATAATATCTGGGCTTGGTGGTTACTATGGTTCGGTAGCTTCAAAAGGGAAAATATTATTGGAAATTCAGTCAATGTTTGATTCAACTTTTAGCACTAATGTTACAACACATATCTTAAAACAGATTACATCTTACATGTCAGCTAAACAGATACCTAAGATAGATTGGATTAATTCAGCTAACGTTACTCTGGCTGATCCACAATACAATGTTCCAAATAAAATTGACATGTTATTAGGAGCAGAAGTCTATAGCCAGATTTTACAAGAGGGTATAATAAGAGGTCCACGTGGTTCTCCTGTAGCACAATGCACCTCTTTAGGGTGGGTTTTGTCTGGACCTGTTCAATGTATAAATTCTAAAAATAATACAGTGGTTTTGCGTAGTAATATAGAAAAAGATGATAATATACTACAAGGTTATCGGGAAGTAGAATCAAATAGTATATATAATTTAAGAACTCCAGAAGATCAACAAAAATGTATGCGGTTGACCAACAATAAAAAATATATTAAAAGTAGACATAATGTCAAGTCCATGTTTCATACTAAAATATTTTACAATACGAAAAACAGAGTTTAATAGAACTAATGAGTATAAAAGAGACAATATAAAAATAAATGAAAGATTATCAAAGCATCGAAAAGTAAGCAGAACAAATTAATTGAAAGATTAAAATAAGAGATAATATAGAAAATATAAATTAGTATGGATAATGTAAAAATAGTGGAAGTAGGAAGTATTATTTGGTGTAGATGTTTCAATACATTTTAATACTCAGTGAAATTATCTTCGAGCATAAACTAATGATAATGAATATAATTCTAATATTTGGTTCAGATAACATATACAAAAATAATATATGATCTACTTACTAAAATAATATTTATTCATTATAATATGTTATATTGTACGAATTTTGTATTGCACATGAGAACATTCATGATTTAACTGTAAAGAATTGTATGGATTTTGTAATATATTTCTCAACACTTTGACAGTGGTTGTTATAGAACTTTGAGTGTCTATTATGATTTTTTGAGCGCACATTTTATTAATTGGTAGCTAAAACTAAAACCAGAATACTATACATATATTGAAATATGTATTGAATATACTACAAATTACAATTAGACTAGATGTGATAATTGCAATAATCATATTATTGACAGACCTAAGGCAGATGTGTATCTCAACTAGTTTAGTAAAATAATTCAACTCTAAAAAAATGGGTTTTTTGCCAGAATAGCACAGTTATATCCTTGTGCCATGTAACTTTGGTGTATAGACTATCTTAAAACATTTATGTCATGTTGAAATTCTGTATACTGTCCATTGTTTGACTGAGTTTGGGCAATTCTTCTTATTAATTCTTATTTATGTTAGTGTATTTAGTTCAAGAATGAAATAGATTTAATAATGTACATCAGTTTTGAGTTTGCTTCGATTTTTGTATTTCATTATTATATATTTGATTTAGTTGCTTCACGGTGGGCGGATTTGAAATAAAGGACATGTAGTCCTTGGTGGGCGGAATGTTAAATATCCCACTTTTAATATTGTCTCATTATTATAGCAGTTTGGGTTTGTTCCGTTGCTTTTAAAAAGGTGAAATAACTTTGGCGCCAAATTGTAAAAAAACATAATAATAAGAGACTATAAGCAAACTGTAGAGAAAATATATATATTATTGTCATATTTATTACTGAAATACATTTTAAAAGTTCTTTTAAGTGATGTAATGGTTGGAAGTACCTACAGTACAAATATTTAAGACTTCAAAATAAAGAAATAAATTGATTACAAGTTTTAATTGTTACTATAGAAGATTCCCTATTAAACAACTTATATACCTACCACAGATCAGTCTTGCGTCTTTGGAAACACTGAGCAAGTTATCACTACACCAAATTCTGTCGATATTCTCTAACCATAAATATACATGAAATTTGCCGCTACTTACTTACCTTTACTTTTTAAAATCGACTTTAATGTATTAATATTAAAGTTGATTTTCATTGCTTAAAATTGAACATAAATTGAGTTAGGCGTTATTGTTATTGAGTTAACGGAGAGCGTATTAGGAATAAAATATTTTTTATATCTGTGATACCAAATTTGTGTTGATTCAAATAAAAACAATAGCTCTCGCTCTTTACCATAACGTTAAGCTTGTTTGTCATTCAAGTTACATAAAAATTCGCTAACAATAGTTTTGTCCGATGGCAGTATAAGAATATCCTGTGCTTTTAAAATAAACAGATAAAAAAAGCGTCTTCACTTTTTAATTAAAACTTTTTTATGTCAATGGGACGATCAATGGAACACAGTCCGCGCAGTTAAATGAATCACGAACAAAATAAACGTTTACTCAGTTTTTAAAACTCTATAATAGGCGGGCCGGGAAGAAAACGTCCTTGAGTTGTGCAACCGCCATTTTGCAAACATACTTCATTACAAAATGGCGCCGTGTCAGTTTATATAAATTATGTTCTTTACGTGAAATTTTATTTCAAATTATTTTTTTATTATTGTACTAACTGTGCCCGCGACTTCGTCCGCGTTTTATAGTGAACCTTTACTAAATAATGAAAAAATATTCAATAATCAACCCAAAACTGGTTAAGAAAAAAGTTTCATCTTTCTAGCTCAAAAAATGACGAATTTCCATGCAAATGTTTATCCCCTATTTTTTTTACCCCCTTAAGGGTAACATTTTTGTAAACTTTAAACGTCATATTTATTTAAAAATGACGATACTTCCATACAACTTTTCATCCCTCCTTAGAACCCCTTACAACCCTTTTCCTTATTTATATTCAATCAATTGCCTACAAAATAACTTTCAAGCTTACAGTTTTAAAAATGATGACTCTTCCATATAACATTTCAACCCCTCACAACCCTTTTTCGCATTAAAAAGTAGCCTATATCCTTTCTACTACATCCATATGAATATAAATACGGTACATACACCAGAATAACATTTTTTACCATTTTTGTCTGTCTGTCTGTCTGTTTGTTCCGGCTAATCTCTGAAATGGCTGGAGCGATTTTGACCGGACCTCTATTGATAGCAGATGTAATAAGGAGTATCTTGGCTACTTTTATTTTAGAAAAAAAAGCGGAATTTGCCACGCAGACGAAGTCGCGGGTGTAGCTAGTATGTTATATATATGTTGATCGACTGTCACTAGTCACGTGTCATAGCGCATTCCCTCCAATGATTAAATGACATGATTAATGGATCAACGTCATTTTTTTAATCACGATTTTGGAATCGCACTTTTTGAGGCGGTCGATTTTATTTGAAAAATGTTGTTGAATAAAAATAATATGTCATCATGATTATTATCTATGATAGGGTAGAAAAATATTACTAATATTTAAGGGTGGATCGTCAATTTGTGGGTCTACTTAGTGGCCTACCTAATTATATTACTCAACTAAAAAAACACACCGACCAAAGACAAGCGACCAGAAATTCCCCGTTCCTTTCGGTAGACGCGCACTTACCTGGATTGACTGATCTCAGGGTTGCCAACCTTATGATAGATTTTTTAACATTCTAGATATTTTTTTATATTCGACTAGGGGCTTTTTATATCCCCGGGGCCCTGGGCTGCAGCCCAAAAAGCCCTTAGTTAGACCCGGCCCTGCTAATACGAGTATTATAAATGCAAAATTACTTTGGCTGTCTGTCTGTCGCGCTTTCAGGCCAAAACTACTGAACTAGACAACATAGATAGTCTAGACTCTAAGAAAGGACATATTTATTTATTTATTTATTTAAAACTTTATTGATTTTGTACAATAGACGGGCTTAATGTTAATAGCATTCTCTACCAGCCAACCTTAGAGAGGGCAGAGATACTCGAAAGCGGTTTAGTTTTAAGAAATTAAATGTAATTATATTAAATAGATATAAGATAAGCAAAAAGGGTTATAAGGGGTCGAAAGGGGGTGATGTAAGTTTGTATATATTATTGAAAGCTTATTTTCTTTCATTTCAGGTGTGAAAAAGTGATGAAAACGCCAAACTGTATTCGAAAAAGAGGTAAGCATAAATGATTATTACATTTTATTGATAAGTTTTGTTTTATATATTATTATATATTCTTTATTGCACTTTTAAATATAGTTCTAAAACATATACAGAGTGAGCAAAGGTTTATCTCTAAGAGAGATCTCTACCAGTCATGTGGCATAGCTAATAGTGAGTAGGTAACACCTGTGCATTAACAATATTATGTTGAAATTGGACATTTCAAGTTGAGAAAAAAAAACATTTAAAATTCAACAAATTAAATTATGTTCTAATTATAATAAAATATACAATAATAAATAAAATAAGCATTAATAAATACATACATATACAATTATATCTACATATATTACATCAAATACAAATAATAAAATACATGATGAAACTAATCATACTAAGGTCGATTTTTTTCATTAAAACAACCAATTGATGGACTTTCCTGACTGGTAGTTTGTTCCGTAACTTTTTGACTCCTTTTACTAGAATTTTATCAAAATTTGTAACTTTTTCTTTTCTCTCCGTTGTCTTATTTATTTAGTGGTAGTTGGAGTTTGTATTCACACATTTCAATTTAAAAATATAAAGTTACAACTAGCTGTACACGCGACTTCGTCCGCATGTAATTTAACTTTATCTTTCCAAATCTTAGAAGTAGCTTAAGTTACTCCTAACATAAGCTACTTGCCAAAAAAGGCCTATCGAAATCGGTCCAACCATTTCAGAGATTAGCCGGAACTAACTGTCTGTTCGACAGACAGACAAAAATTGGAAAAAAAATATTTTGGTATTAGTACCATATTTATATTCATACTAGATGAAAACCCGGCTTCGCTCGGGTGAAATGTGGGTAGATATTTCTGTAGTCATCGGTTCTCATGGAATATTAAAAGTAAGCAAGGCATAGATTTGTAAAGCTTCGTTCATTGTATTTAATAAATATAGTAAATAAAAAGTGCAAAAGTTTTTATACAAATAATCTTTATTTTTTTGTAAAACTTTAAGTTAAGCTAAAATTCGCTTGTATCCAGATCCATATCAGATCGTAAAATAAATTAATAAAAAAAATTGGCAAATTTGTCTCGCAATCGGCCAATTTCAGGTTTAAAGACAAAACACTACTCTTTTATCATAAAAAAGTGTCAAAAACAATATTTTCGCGAAACGTCAACGACCGAAGAAATTGCTAGTGAAATGAAAAGATGGCGACTGCGGTTTGTTTGTCAGTGTCATTAGAATTTAACGAAATACTCCATAATCCGAATTTTGCGGATATATGTTGTCGACTCGAAATCAATATTTTTTTATGTTTTGTTATTCACATAAGGTTTCGTTCGAGTCTACCGTACCATTTGACGGAATTATTAATATAGATAGATGCATGCAGTAAAAAACGGTTATTTCAATATTACAAACAGACACTCCAATTTTATTTATATGTATAGATAAAAGAGCAACACACAAGTTTCTCGCTCGTTCTTCTTGTGATGAGGCTATGAGAATAAATATGATATGAGAATAATAATCAATAATGAGATGAGAATAAAAAATTCAAAAGTGCTTATATTAAGTTTATTTGAATTGTAATATTATATTATCTGTGTTATAACATAGTACATAGGTACATTAGCCGTGTCTGTAGAGTGTCAGTGAACAATATTATACCTACATTGAATATTCGATTGTACCCAATCAGGAGTTCGACACAGTTATATATCTATTATGTACGTATCTTTCCAAAACAGATGTCATGTAGACTGTATTGACTGCCATCTATTTTCATGCTTTATTACTAATCACCCACTAGTAATCCGAACTGCTTCAGATATAGCGACATCTAGCGGCTACGGCGGCGAAATAAAATAGCCCGAAGAATAGCCCGAGTTAGGAAGGAAACATTTTCTTGTATGGGATGGGGTATCTGTATGTAATATTATATTATCTGTGATTTGAATAAACATTATTTATATTTCTGTCTTTGTGTTATTATGATCGAGTGGAATGAGTAGTCATGCTCACTAAAATGTCCAGACATGTGGCGGCGTGGTGGGCCGGGTTATTGGGTTCCCCAAAATATGGTCGAGCGCAGTGATGGCTGGCTCATCCGTCATACTCGTGAGCGAGTGCTGCTTGTAGGGACTGGTCTGCTCTTATCACTACGACTGATTTAATCTTATTGTATATTTATATTTGACCCAAAAAATTTGTGCTGGTTGGTAGTTTGTATTCACACGTTTCGACTTGTAAAATGTGAACTTACAAGGATTGTTTAAAAGAGCAACACACAAGTTTCTTGCTTATTCTTCTTGTGATGAGACAGCTTTCCGAATAAGCGGTAGATTTAAAAAAATGTTGATTATTCAAAAGTTAATTTGAATAAATGATTTTTTATTCTATTCTGTTATTATCATTGTTGTGTTGTTATGTACGATATAATAGATGTTATTCTATTCTTTTCTATGCAGTTCTGTTCTATTCTATTCTATACGATTGATCTTAGAAATATCATTGTAAATCTATATCGTGTGGTGAGACGGCCAACTCGCCCTCTCTTTAGCGTGAGCCCACTAAAATGGGGAGGGTCCATATTTCGAATAAAAAATAATTTGTCAATGTCAAAAAAAAAACCAATATTAAATCTCAGGGGAGACTGAGGTGTAATAGGAGACTGGTACATGATGTTTTATAATATTACAATAATAATATTATATCTTAGGACAATTAACACAGCGCCATCTAGTTCCACGGTAAGCAGAGCTTGTGTTATGGGTACTAGACAACTGATATAAATAAATAAATAACCATGGACAATTAACACAGCGCCATCTAGTCCCACGGTAAGCAGAGCTTGTGTTATGGATACTAGACAACTGATATAAATAAATAAATAACCCTGGACAATTAACACAGCGCCATCTAGTCCCACGGTAAGCAGAGCTTGTGTTATGGGTACTAGACAACTGATATAAATAAATAAATAACCCTTTAACACAGCGCCATCTAGTCCCACGGTAAGCAGCGATTGTTCACTGATGATATAAATAAATAAATAACCCTGGACAATTAACACAGCGCCATCTAGTCCCACGGTAAGCAGAGCTTGTGTTATGGGTACTAGACAACTGATATAAATAAATAAATAACCCTGGACAATTAACACAGCGCCATCTAGTCCCACGGTAAGCAGAGCTTGTGTTATGGGTACTAAACAACTGATATAAATACATAGATAATTTTTTTGTAAATACATACATATTATACATAGAAAACACCTAAACCGATACAAACAATCATACTCGTGAATACATGTTTGCATCGTGCGAGGAATCGAACCTGCGACCATCCGCATACGGGGTGCTAAACCACTAGGCCATCAAAGCCGTTAATTGGAAAGTAATTTTGTAATTAGATAAATCTAGAACATTCATCAGTCATGGTAGCAAACAAGCATACGGCCCATCTGATGCTAAACGTTTACCGTAGCCTATGGACACCTGGGACATCTCAAATTAATAACCAAACGAGAAGCGCTGAATCACTGGCAAGAAATGCCAGGATTAATACATTCAAAAGACCTAATATCGGGCTTCTCGACCAAATACTCCAATAGACTACTGCTATTGAGTAAAAACAACATATGCATGATGACTAGGGCCCTCACAGGACACTGCAAATTGAACAAGCATATGGCTAAACTAGGCCTATGCACGACAAGTATCTGCAGATTCTGCCAAACTGAAGAGGAAACGCCGCTTCACATCCTATGTGGTTGTAGCCCACTCATGCATAAACGAAATATCTCCTTTGGAAAGTTTACACTCTTTCCCGAGGAGATAAAAACCATCGCTCCTAAGAATATCCTTCAATTCTTGTCCCTGACGGGTCTAGGTAGTGAACTCTGAAAAGGGCGAGCACAATAGATCTATGTAGGTCGCAGTGCTACAGGTGCTACACATCTGACAATAGCCCAAACAACCCAATAAAGAAAATAAAATAAAATGGACACCTGCAACACCAGTGGTATCACGTGTCGACCCTTAAGAAACCTTAATATACCCTTCTTGAAAAACCCCATGCTGTAGTCTCTATAGAAAACCTCAGCAAGTAGTTCATTCCTAGTTTCCACAATGTAAGTGTACGCGGGAGGAAGCTCCTCTGAAACCGCACAGTCCGAGACCACTTTAGTTCCAGCGTGTGGGGATGAATTCATACATACAAAATTTGTATTAAACAACTAATTATTATTTATACAACCCTAAAATCTTTATAGAAACCCCTAATTACAAGCTATAAAGTCACCATACAAAAAACAATTGATTTCACGGTGACTCCCCTAATAGTTATTCAATGAACACCCTATATACACACCCCTGCAAACACTCCCTTTACACTCCCTATATCTTCCTATAATTGGGCTCAGTACTTACCACTGCATCGCTAAGAATGCACGCGTTCGGTTCCAATAAAAAATAAATAAACGATTTGTTTTTGAAAATAGAAGAAAAATAAATATTGTCTTTGAAAAAAGAATTAAAAAATTGTTTTACTTTTTGAGTGACAGTGTAAAATTGTATTGTGACATTTGGTTGATTTCAAATATCGAATGCGTTAAATTCGACTGATATTTGAATTTGCGCGGGAAAACGTTCCGTTTTAAACTGTGTAAAAGTACATTGTTTTTTTTTATTTTAATGGCACTAAGTACTGAAGTGATGTGATGTAATCATTTGTAATAATAAATGGAATAGGTAAGTGGAGTTTATTATTTTGTCTGTGTGTTATCTATACATCTATTCATATAAATAACATTGGAATGTCTGTTTGTAATATTGAAATAACCGTTTTTTGCTACATACATATGAATATAAATACGGTACATACATCAAAATAACAGGTTTTACAATTTTAGTCTGTTTGTCTGTCTGTTTACTCCGGATAATCTCAGAAATGGTTGGACCGATTTTGATGGGACTTTTATTGGCAGTTAGGTGATGTACTAAGGAGTAACTTAGGCT